CTTTGTTGCTGTAACATTGGAATTTCCCCATTGTGGGACAAATAAAGGAATATCTTATCTTATCTTATGGTAGAAAAACCACATCAGCATGGAAATAAACTGAGTGCACTGTGTGGGGGAAATGTTAAGCATCAGGAATTCTGAATAAAAGCATGTGAGCTCTGCAAACCTTTTATTCTGAAGGTCCATATTGAAAAGTTTCCACGAACACATTTTGACTGAGTGCTCACAGTTTATTCATCTGTTTAGTGGTTTAATGATCACTCGTCAGTCATTATTTTTCTATCAAATGACATCTGGGAGGCTCCATACTTTTTAGTTTGAATACATGGATAAATAAATGAATGAAGTGTCAGAGACAGGCGACATGCAGCAGCCTCATCCTTGTGTTTTCTTCTCAGTGGGAACTGCTGAAACTGTACCACAGAAGCTGCAGGAGGACAACCAGAGTAAGTTGCTTGCAGGCAGAAAGCAGCTGCGATACAGTTCTAATGTAAGTTATGTGATGCTGTGAACTGACTATATCATCACATTGTAACACAGCTCCTGGTTTCTTTTTCAGTCTCAGAGGCAGAAAATGAAGCTGGAGCTTTTGTTCCTGAAGGTAAAGAGCTGAACAGATAATTCACCACATCTTGGGTCATATTAGTGACAGGAGTGATCCTAATGGGATTTTTCTTCTGCTGGAGAGATGGCTCCATCAGCTGAAGGTTTACTGCCTTTGAATATAACATTGAGTCTCTCCATCAGTATAATGGAATCAAAGCATTTGTTCCAGTAACCATGTGCTCCTCTCTCTCCTCTGCAGGTCGTTTTTTCGCGTGTCCCACTGGCTGGGTCAGATACAAGAGCAGCTGCTATCAGTTAGTGAGCTCCAGCAGATCCTGGAGCAGTGCTGCGGTACTTTACATTCTTTAATTAAAGACACGCCTTTAATAATTTTGAAGTGTATTTCTTTGCTGTACATCTGAAAAGCTCACATTCTAACTAACATTGAGATGTCCATTCTGGCTCCTTCCAGGCCCACTGTGCCAGTCTGGGAGCCTCCTTGGCTTCAGTCCATGATCAGTTTGATTACAGTTTCCTCCAGGAGCTCACCAGGAGAGCAGGACACACCGTCTCCTGGATGGGAGGATTCTACTTTCAGGTTATAAGACCCTCATACATATTTTATAAAAGCCACTATAACAGATGAATCACCATCCTAGTTAGGCTGCATCAGCATAAAAATATGAAAATTGTGGACAGAAATCTCCAGTCGATGTCTGCTGCTTGTTAGACTTGCTGTGTCTTGTGTCCAGGGCTGGAGGTGGGTGGACCAGAGCTCTTTCAGCTACACCTACTGGAGTACAGTGAATTCTGCCAACAGCTACCCATGTGTCTACCTTAGAGTCACTGGTAAGAGCACATTGCCATCTGTCACTGCAACTTTAGTTGCATTCAGCTAGCTAATGATACTTCTGGTTTAAAAGAGCACATTGTTCAGTATATTTTAATGATGATTAATGATTACAGTTAATATTTACCTCATGTAGTGTTGATGAATGAACATTTTCTCTTGCAGGGGGCTGGTCCAATCAGGCCTGCAGTACTACATGGCCATCTATCTGCATGAAGAGGACTGACACCTGCTAACCCTGACACCAGGATACAGCTGTGTGTGCTGATCTTAATCATAATCCTTGCAATTGCATAATCCTTGGATTAGTGTTAGCATAAAAACCTAGTTTAGAGTTCAGCAAAAAGAATCAGAGGAGTTGTATGTATTATAAGACATTATTGAATGAGATTTGTTGATGACTTCATGCTGTACATATAAAACAAACTACTGCAAAATCAGATCTGTAAAGAGGCCACCGGCCAGTTTTGATTTTTTTTTAAACTTTGCAATATGTGTTTTACAGAAATAAACATTGTATTAGAAATTGAAATACATGACAAATAATAAACAATGTTTGATGTACTAAGTTATTCTTATTCTTGCCGTATTTGCTAACAGCAACATTAGCATGTGTTCTTCATTCATTTTTACTCAACACCTGATAGCAAATGTTACCTACTTGGTGTCCTAGTATGGATGCTAAATGCTAAATGTAATAAAAATTACGTACTTACCAGGTATCTTGCCAAAGTGTGTAATACACACACTGGTCCACTGTGGCAGTGTCATATTTTCAACACATGCTCATTCTGTGCTGAAGTTAGCAATAATAGGGTTACACTTGCACAAAGCTTGCTGAGGTCGCAATTTGGTTAGGTTTAAGAAAAGATTGTAAGTT